AGGCTGAGTAACATACAGTAAAAGGAGAATGACACTACAACCGTTGTGGCATATCGGCAGTTTAGATGTGTCAGGATTAGAAAATTTATACCTTCGTTATGATCGACGATCGAGAGCGTCTCGCAGTAAGGATGACGACATTTCTGTTTAGCCCACAAACTGGCATTCCTTGCGTTATTGCAATGCTTAGTGGCTACATCTGCAAAAACAAAGGTTTTAGCAAAAAATAGCAAATAAACTTTGAAAAAACAACACGGAATAGACAGGACGTCTCTAAAAACTTCAAAACTTCAGCAATTATCAACTTGCGGATGTTGCGAAAGTTCAAACACTAGGTTTAACGTGATTTATAATTGCTATTAGTAGATAAAAAAGTAGAAATTAGTGCTACTTCATACACAAAATCTCGGCTAATCACAATATTTCCACCAATTACTCCCATCTATTGTATGTCTTCACGAATCCCACAGTGATTAAATTATTACGGTTATGTAAAATTAGATTATTACGGTAATGTAAGTATCTAAAAGATTCACTATTGAATACGGGAATCATTTGAAGAGTTTCAGATCAACACTATCTCAGAATTGTACACGGCGAGGATATGAATTCAAAATAAAGCACAACAGTACAAATCTCCCATCTCCCCAACGTATGATCAATACCGCTACTCGATTTTTTGATGGAAGAGAAGCTGTTGTCTGAAATCTAGGTTAAGTTGAATTTAATGGGTCAGTTGATCCAACATACCATGTGGGTAAGTAGTCCGCCGCACCTTCAACAATTGCTGAATAGTTTTTCTCATATCACTGGGCACATTTTTGAGCGGCGAGGCACAATAGTAACACCAATAATCATCTTCTAAATGGAAGTTTTGTTGTATGGCAAAGGTGACTGTGAACATTACAGAGTGCTCAGAGAACTGTTTGGTCGTTAACTCTTTCATTCAAAAATCTATTCTAAGTCTCGATTTGAAGAAAAGTGGAATTTCAGGCCCTGAAAGTGCCGTAATGGTAAGGGATTCATGAAGTGGGCGAAAGCCTACCAACACTTCAAAATAAATCGTTATGGCCTAAAAAATGTTTGGCTATAAGAAAAGTTTGCAACAACAGTTAGCACATTTTTTGGGGCCTGTACTTCTAATAGTAAGGATTGCAAGATGTGCAGTAAAAAAGGGATTACGGTAGTAGCGATTACCTTCATCGTTCCGCGTTGCCAATTGTTCGACGATTTTCGGAGCAACTGCTTTTCTTTCTTCATTCTTCTCAACAACTTCCTCTCTTATAATAGGCCTTCCTCGTTGTTGTAACCGCATCTCTTCTTCAAAGGCTTTCTGCTCGCTGGCTACTATCTGAAAAACCTTATTCAATTAACCTTTATATTTTTTGAGGAGATTTTGAAGTTTCACTATTCAGAAGAGAAACCCTAAAATGTCCTTTATATCATGGTGTCTTCCATTCTCTGCTAAGCCGTCGTTTCTGAAGGCGGTAAGATACTACAGTGAGGTTTTGGTTCAAAATATTATAGCGAAAAAAAGATCTAAGCTTA